CGTCCGGAAGGGCCCCGTATCGATCCGATGCTAATTCGCCTTAACTTAGATTCATCGATGGATCTCACCGCGGTACGCGCTACGAGAGCCTACGTAGCTACGAATACGTCCGGTGAACAGCATTGCTCAGATACGGTGATAGTAAACTAAACTTATATTAAGCTCATGAACATTATCGTTCTGATTCCATATGAGGTATTTGTGAAGATTTGGTTAATCTGTTCTTGTTCATATAATTTTATCAGATATCTATCTATGAAGAGAAATTATAATATTATATAATATGTTTATTTTAATTTACAATGAACTTGCTTTTACGAAAGAGTAAAATAAACAACAATAGGCATTTATATACAGAGAAGAGAAGAAATATAAAACAGAATGAAGTTCCATTTTCAGTTTCTTCACTAATATTCTCTTCTCTAAAGAATTAGGTTTTGGATAATAATAGAGTTTAATGAAATTCAGTAAAAATAACGTTATTACATAATACGGAAATTATCGCTTTATTGTTGATTGATTAGAGGTATCTAGTATCGCTCCAAGGGCAAGGAAGAAGTTAAATTTTTAATAGGCGTCTTTTGATTTAATTTATCATGCATTTTAAATTAATAATTTACCTAACACTTAACAGCATCCAAGGGCTCGAATGGAGTGTTATTGAACTAAGGTGTTCGGCGTCTAACTGTAATGTACTAGCTTTTCTAAATGTCCTTCATTCGGAAGTTTAAAAAGCATTTCAAAGTCTATAACATCTTTTAAATATTTTTATTCAAAGAGATATTATTATCATATTTATATATACTTATAACAGTATCGTTTTGTTATCTAGATGTTTTCATTTATATATATCAAGAAAATAATGCCTATTACAATAAATTGTGATGACGATACATCTAAAATGCATTCTACAAGAATTGAGCTTTTTGACAATATTCAGGAAATGGATTATGTTTTGAATGTACTTGACTATCTGATAGCCTCAACTTCGTCTACATTGCTAATTATACTAACTACTACTAAAACAAAACATCGAAATACCGGAATCATAAATAAACATTAAAGAATAAATGTTAAAAAGTGAGTTGAGACAGAAGTAGAAGAGTACGGCAAGAAAACACACACGACTAAGCACGTAGCGCGTATAGTTATTGTTACAACTTCAATTCATTTACATTAAATGACAATATTTTTTTTTTTTTTTTAGGTTAAATGTAAAACAATTTTTTTTCCCGTCATGCACGCACGACAGACCTCTATCAATTTATTTATATAGATATCCAACTTCCTGTTTGAGGACACTTCGATTCCCTGGCTCCAAGTACGTGTACGAGTAAGCGCTGCCTAAATACTCGTACTTCAAAGTTCACCGCAGTCATCGCACGTCGAGATGCGAATATGATTTTCGCAACGGACTCCTTCCAGGAACGCTCAGATACATTCTTGAGCTACCGGCACCGTGTTGCGGAGTGTTTGTTCGGTCGCTTTTTATTTTAATCCCTCCCCAACTAGCCACGGCAAGTTCCCCGTGGCGCCGCGGCGAAATCCTTACGCACCGAGAAGACCGGTGTAATCGATGCTTCAACAATCGATTTACTTAGAATTATGGATATTTTTCGATGTACAGCCGCGAGGAAAAGTGACTTGATTTAATTTGGTTTCTTGTTTCGGTATGTGTTTGTATTTTTTATAAGATTAAATTAAAGATATACATGCTCAACTGATACGCATCCCACTGCTGGGAATAGCCTTAACTCGACAGAGGGAATAGTACCCCGTGTGAAATTAATAACGTAATTGCAAATTTTTTAATAGTATTTTTTTACTGGTTATTTTTTTAAAGGAGATCTTTCTTTTTCTCATATCATTCATAAAATATATAAACAAAAACTTACGAACTGACTTATAACTAATTTAATTAGTTTGTAAAAAGTCTTTGCTACATCTGATTTTTAGGAGTAATGTTAATGAAAAGTACCATGGTCATATAGAGAAGTATTATACTTTTGCGTTCCGTAAGGTACCAAGAGACCTTAAAAACAACGCTCCTGCATCACTGCGGCTTAATGTCCGTAAGCGATAATCACTAAACATCATCATGAACAACTTGCTCATTTGCACTTCTCTCATAAAAAGAAGTTACACGACAGCCTTGGCACACAATGTGTGTCGGCCAATGTGATTGCTCTCGCCCATCGCGGCCGCAGCAGCGAACAATCGATAAGAGCTACGTGTAATCAATCGGCTTACATTTGAAAACAATGGCGGCATTATAATTGGCCATGTCATTAACACTCGTTAACGACCGGTGTCGCAAAAACTGAGGACAATGGCGGTTGAATGCGAGATTAATAGCAGAAATGGGTAGGAAAATGACATTACTTCAGCGTGGAATATTTATTTACTCGCGTTGACACCGATTTGTTTATCTGTGCCGGAACTGCGTATTTCGAGGCTTTTTTACACAATATATAGATAGAGCCGTGATAGCTCAGTGTCAGGGCGCTCGCCTTTAATTCAATATACTCGAGCAACCTGAGTTCGATCGCCGGTGCCGGCACCAATGATTTAAGTTTAAGTGCTGACTTATCACGTGCTCAGCGGTGAAGAAAAACATCGTGAAGACACCTGCATATTTTCGAAATAATAACAAAAAAAATATTTCGAAAATATGTAAAGTCCGCCAATCCTCAGTGGGGCCGCGTGGTGGACCATGCCCTGATACCAGACGAAGTCTTTGCCCAGCAGTGGGACATGTATAGGCTATTACTTTACTTTTTTTTCATATACCTATAGGAGACTGTCAAATTAAACTGTTTTGCGGAATATATCGCGTTTAGATTTGATTAAAATAAAACTTGAAAATCTGTCCACAAAATTGACACAAAAATTTTAGCCGTCGCCAGGATTTCAACCTGCATCTTTCGGATTATGCCTCTAGAGGCTTTAAGGTAATCCCTCCTTACCACCAGAAAATATTGAAGTGTTATTTACACTGGTTATATTTTATTTTTGGCTTTATCTAATGTTCTTCATTTACAGCAAGCAAAATTACCAAATGATAATTTTCGCGATGAATGTTTGAATACTTTTTATTTTTTAGTGCTAATCTCTGCAAAAGCTTAGACTGTTCCAAAGTTTTCAAAACGGCAGGAATTTAATAGCAGAAATTAACGAGACATAATCCGCAAAATTATTGTGTTTGATGACGTGTACAGTTCATTTATATACAACAAATTATTTCCATTATTTTTAATGAAAGCTGCTTTAATTAAAGCATATCGACTCGACTGTACACGGCATCAGACCACTGAGTTACAATTCACGTCGTCAATACCTTAAAGTCCCGACTGTACAATAAAACATATAGCAATTGCCCCCCACTGATTTTTATATTCGGAACTCGTTCAGAATAAAATTATAAAGAGCATTAATAACTCACTAAGTGATATATGTACACCTTGGTAGCCGACGTATGCAAAGTGAGCAGTTTACTTTTTGTGACGATTTACGCGACCAATTACCGTAGATGTTTATTGTATTGATTCGTTTTCGTGGCCTTTGTTCCTTTTCATCGCTCTCTTTCATATTACCTGTGTTCAAATCTTTTCCAATGCGGTTAACTGTGCATTTTTATAGTTATTTGTTTGACTGTCAGTGACATCATCATTCGCAGAATCAGTATTATTATTATTAACTACTATAAGACATTGTATTTCTGCGTGTTCTTAGATAATTACTCAACGATTTTAAGGAATCCAGATGACGGAATTGATTTCAAATATAAGAAGGTGCATTTGATCTGTGAAGGATATGAGATATTTCCATTTTCTTAGTATTAATACAATATATCATCACAGTTGACGTAGACGCTATCAGAAGTAGCGTAATACAGTGGGAGAGGCAACTTGTACCCCTCGCAAAGCATTAAGGGAGAGCTTGCAAGGTCGTACTTCAAAGCGGTAGCAGTAACTCGGTTAAAAATCATAAACAACACCCGTTGATGCCAATCTCGGCGTTCGCGAACGAGCGATCCGAGTGATATCGATTACGTTCCGATGAATCGTGAATCGGCCAGTCGAGTTGGTTAATACGCGCCGTAGACCGCCATAAAACAGTCCGACGGCATTAAATACGTGCTGTGGGCCGCGTCCGTGAGTAATCGAACACGCTGTTGTGCTGGATCGGTTCTAAGCTCGATAAAGCCGAGATATCACGCTCTTCGCGATTCGAATCCTTGTGGGATTAGGTGACTGTAAATGTAAATCCACTTCTGTATGTCCCTAAAAGACAGCGCTTGAAGAAAATAGGTAATATGAGCTTTACTGATCGCAATTACGACGCCGATTAGGGATGTTTTCATATGTAGCTGTTCTTGTATAGCGGGTACAACGTTCGAAATATGCCGTATGTGTCAAAGAAACGTAACTGTTTATTTGACACATACGGTCTGTTTCTTCTCCGTTAGAGGAACATCATTACGAAACGGTGGTAGATTAAAAATGCTATCGATAGATAAAATGTATGTTTCTTATGTCGATGAATTGATTTTTGGCGAAATATAACAACTATCACCAATTTATGAATATATTCAAGCGTGAGACAGTGTTATTCAAATCAAATAAAATCAAAAATATATTTATTCAAATAGACGCTTGCGCGTTCTTATGAATCTATTTATTTATTTATTTATTTACTGTATCGGAGACAAACAGGAACAAAAGACAAAATAAAAAATAAAAATGAACATACAGCATGCGGATATTTACAGCTTAACTAATGTCTCACTGAGAACAAATTTGTTATTTATCGGTAGCACACTTACTAATTACAAATGACACAATAAAATTTAAACAATGCAAGAAAGAGAAAGAAGAAGAATCGTCAAATTTCACATCAAAAATTATATATATATAGGCTCGTAAAGTACCACCGGTACCTGTTTAAGTAAGGTAATTATTTGAGTATGGTCTCAATCGATGTCTTCACTCGACGAATCATATCCACGTACCTTGGAAGTAACTCTTGGTGCGCAGGTAGCTGACGGACAGCCGCAGGATGGAGAGCCGGTCCAGCTTGCTGAGGATGTTCTGCTCGAAGGGCAGGAGTGACGCCAGCGTGTCCAGCTCGGCGTTGAGCCTCTCGCGGTGACGCTTGCTCGGGTTGCTCTTCGTGACGCCGTCCTTTGATGGTGGCTTGATACTGCAACAATCGTTTAGTATCAAATTAAGGCTTTTTAGAAACTCCTTGGTCCACCATTTGGCCTGCCAATGGCTGCAGTACATTGGCAGGCGAAATAATAAGTCTGACTTCCCATATGCCTCGTTGTTGAATGTTAAATAATACATTTTCCGCACTTTCACTACATAGTATAAAAGAAAGTCATCCCGCTGTCTGTCTGTCCCTATATGTGCTTAGATCTTTAAAACTACGCCACGGATTTTGATGCGGTTTTTTTTAATGGTAGAGTGATTCAAGAGGAAGGTTTATATGTGTAGTTCATGCATAAAATAGCGATAATTTTAGAGGTTTGTAATATGACGTCGAAAACAAACATTCAGTACTGCACCCGTGCGAAGCTGGGGCGGGTCGTTAGTGTTAAGTAAAAGGTTAACCAAAACGCTGATTTAAATAAAAAGTAAAGTATAGTAGCAGCCTATAAATGTTTACTGCTGGGAAAAGGCCTCCACTGTGAAAAGGGTATCAGGGCGTAGTCCACCACACGACCCCTGCTGATTGGTGGGCAAATACTTTCGAATTTTTTTTTCTTTATTATTTCATCGTCTAAAATATGCAGGTTTCCTCACAACGTTTCCCTTCATCGCCGAGCACGTGATGTACATAATATGCATAATCAAGGTAATTTCAGTTGAGCTATATTATTACATCTGGCTGCCCTAGATATCACTCAATTGAAAACTTTCGTCTCTACCCCGTTCCGATCGCAATGCAGCACAGCACGGCGCACACTGCGACTGGACGCTTCGCGATTTTATCGCGGATCCAGCGCAAGGCGGGACACAAGTAGACGCTGTCTGCACGCCTCACGCCACAAACTCACCGCAAACACGTCGGAAACATTCGAGGAACGCGTAGAGCCGAAAACGGCCGAGCTCGCCGCGTGCTCGCCCTTTATCCTTAAGTTATGCAAACAAGTGGGCTCGCGTGACCACTGTGTCGTTAGACGTGGAAGCTACCGTAGGTAACGCAATGTCTACGCTGCCCCCTAGAAATATGAGTGATCCGTCGAGTTACTCAGCGTTGTGCCCAAGCTCTTAATGTGCTAATATCAGACGATCCGTATTTCATAGCAATGGTATAGTATAAGTGTCGACTGACCTTAACTGCTGCGTCTGATGCAATTGGATATTAACGCCCAGTTTTGGATTTAATTCAATCAATGACTATGTGCATCTTAAAGCTTTCCCTGAATACATACTTTTGTGAAAATTCAAATATTATGTTCCATCTCGGCCTGAAATTAAACATCACTCCTGTCACTCAGTCATCATGCCTTCGCTTACGTATATTTTCCTCATCATCATGTACCTCTTTCTTTTCTTACCAGGTACTTTTTAAATGACATACGTAGCATACATATACATTTACAGTAATCCCTTTCGATTATAATTTGTTACCTTTAAATTAAAAGTAAAGCATACAAATAACGCGTGTATTTGTTTTAGTTAATTTTTGTGTTCAACTTCTCGCTGGCATAGGTTACTTTAAATTAGTATAACGGCCTAAAGAAAGACGTAGAGTCGCTGCATAATAATTTTATTTTTATTGAGGCAAATAAGGAGGCGTTTAGAAACATTTATGATTTATTTAATTTTTATAACTAGCACTTCTTGAGTGCAGGAAACTCAATATGAAAGTAAATACGTAAATTTTAGTAGATAGAACCAGCGTCTTTCACGTTAATTCTTTTTATATCAACAAAATATAAAGTAGATATATATCAATAAAATACATGGTTTATGTAATAAATATTACATTTACTACTTATCTCATATTTACAGTAATGTAAAAAGCTAGTAATTGTTAAATATTCGCTTCATTGTTTTTATGAGATCATGTCTATTTAAACAAGTTTCTGAATAAAAATAATACATTCAGCTTAATGGAGCAACAATAGGCAGAACCAATGCGCCAATAGTTTATATAATCTACATTAGGTATATTATATAACTACATGTACTCGTGTGTTACAACACTATTTTTCATTTGCATTTGAAAAAAGTATATTTAGGTAACAATTACAACTCCACGCCACTTTTAGTTTCCAATGGCTGCATTACATTCGGACATTACTCATTGCCGCCCGCCGTTTTTGTTGATTTATTCAGAGGTGGATATCAAACGAACCTCGGCCTTTGATAGCCCGCAACAATTTGTATCCACATATGATAAGACTGACATTACAAACAACACCCTAAGGGCGAACACTTAGAACATAAAATACAATGGGATCGGGCGGCGACCGGTTTCGAATATATCAACGACCGATTATTTCTATAAATCGTAACTCGATTAAGTTATAATCGACGGGTACCGTAGGCAATGTAGTGCGCATTGATAATATATGGATGATTACAGGCGCGTTTAAACACGTTTAAGACTTATAACAATTGTGTAGCGTAGTACAGATGTATTAGTTCGCAAACCTTTGCAAACGCTAAACGAGTTTCTTTTTCCTTTTTATTAATTTTGCCAGTTCTACAGAAGTCAGCAGATTGTTATGTTAAACGTGTATGTATGTTAGACTTTTTCGGCATTAAACAGTGATTTTGCAGTAAAGGATATTGGGTTTTGTAATTAGAAGAGATAAGAAAATAAATGTCCCACTGCTGGGCAAATGCCTCCTCTGTACCGAGTGCCCTAATAAGGGCATAGTCCACGACGCGACCACACTGCCGATCGGCGGACTTTACATATCTTTGAAATGTTTCGTTTGTTATTATTTCGAAAACATGCAGGTTTCCTCACGGTAAAGACACTGAATTATTCATTGGTGCCGGCACCGGGATCGAACTCATGTTTAGGCATGTGTTAAAGCGAGCGCCCGGACAATGCGCTATCACGGTTCCTTTTTATAATCTAAAACTAGCTAAATTTTCATTAGGCTATGATATTAAAATAATGATTACATTAATAAAAATTTATTCAGCGCTCGATCGTTCGCTGTATACGTATCGATTTCAAATCGCTTATATTGCAATAGAAGTTTTAGATTTTTTCGGAGCTAATTTGAATTGGAATATGGTCGAAATCCATTGTTCACGGTTCGCCTTTCGACGCGGCGGGCGAATTGGAAACTAACGGTGTCAAAACGTGCAGTTTTCCAATTAGGCAAACTGTCTCAGTTTCAATTACGACACTCCACTAAAACGCGCCTAACACTGGGCACCGTGTCCGAATTGTGTTAATTAACGAGGGATAACTGTGGCACGGTTATTAATTCACAGTTAACCGCTTTATTCGGTGTCGATCGCTTTCAAATTGTTCAGAAATTTGTTGTACATTTCGCATACTGAGATAAGTCCATTGAAAGCTTTATACTTACTTTATAGGCGGTTCTCAATTCGGCCGTATTTTTTTATGTTTGTTACCTCAGAACTTTTGACTGTGTGAAACGATTTTGGTAATTCTTTTTTTATTTGAAAGCTGGTGCTTCCTATGTGGTTCAATATTAATTTCATTGGTTTGATCTTGGGCTCTGGAGACACTTAGGGAGGGAACTCCTGAAAATGAATCATAAATTGATTATAGGGCTAGGATATTTAAAGTCTAGGTTTTGTTTTTCGTTAGTAAAAAATGGTTATTACCGAATTTGTTAACTAAATGATAATGATTTATAGGTATATATTCCAGGGTCCCTAAGTCTGCTTGAAACATCAATGATGAGCCTTTAATAATCAATACTTAGCACGCTGTTTTTATTCTTATTGCATTTGACGTAGAATTGATTCGTATTTATCGTCAATATTTCCAACATTATTCTCTCGGCCGGTTTCAATATCCAATCTACAGATAGATTTGGTTACTGGAGATAGAATTTTGACGTAAGTATTATGGAGCTAATGTGAAATATCTATCGCTAGTAACAAAATATATCTGTGGATATAATATAGAAAATGCCGTAAAACACAGTGCATCTGTTATTCCTTTACCATTCTCCCTTGGGTTTTTGAATGGTGTAATATATTTATATCAAATATTAGTAAACCGCTCTGCCTTCTAGCAACTTTATAGAATTTTTTTGAAATACTACTGTCCCAAAATATTAACGGCCTTATCCCTAACTAAGAGAAATGTTTAAGCCATTGTTAAACTATTGATATTCACCGTACACAGCCAAAAACAAAAGTGGCGCAAGGAGCCGTTTCTCATATTTAAGTGTAATTTCATGACGTCTAACGAACATTTAATAGTAGCAGTTTAATCGCGCTTTTGATTTATAACTGGGAGCCTAAAAAAGTTAAAAAAAATACCTTCGAGGTGTTTTCTTACAGTTAGAGATAGTGAAGAAGCTAATAAAGAATATATTTGGTTCTAAAGTAAAATGTTGAAGTACCTATGTAGTTCATCAATTTCCGTAAGGAATTATTTTGTTACAAGTATTTATATTGTTTATTTCAAATTTGCAAAAATTATGCAATATGTTTTATTTTGTTTCCAGATTTATTTGTTAAATATCACTTACACATTTCAATCATAACGAATGATATGTTGTAGATAGTAGATAAAAACAAGTATGAAGGGTATAGATCGTTTTTAATAATATAAAATAACTTATTTAAATTGAGATGATTCAAACACATTAAAACTGAAGAAGATGTGATAATAATAATTATCCTTTTATTATACATTTTTAAATTAATGTGAACGGTATAAATTGATAAACATAATTAAGTCGTTTGTTAGGAGCTTGAGTAAAACAACAGTGTACGTCAGTGTTAGTGAAGATTTAGTAAACCAGGGCGTTTACAAAATACAGCCGCATCGCAAATTACGAAATGCATTCGCGGCGTAGCACAGTCTCTTTAAAACTCACACCCATAAAAATATAGAAGGAATTGAGGCGGATATCCCCTAAATCTCGCGAAGGCCGTGCCTCATTATCACCGCACATGATCAACGGATCAAGATCAACGGGCCAATTAAAGCCGACGAGTGAATGACCAGGCGAACGTAGACAGGCTGAATGGCTGCCGTGCAGACATGCGAGTCGACTGTCACGCATCCAACGAAAAGGAAATCTTTACTACACCTTCTGTGGGCTAAAGGCCCGGTGTCACGAACGGCAGTCAAGGGCCCCCGCTCAGCGTGTTCGCGGGCGGAACGACCGCGTGTTTCGGCCCCGGCTCAGCGTGTTCGGACGAAGCGACCGCTTGTTTAGGTCACGCCGAAACGGACTCATGGTGGACGACCCGTTTATCTTGACGGTATGCACGCGCCAATCTCGTTAGCCGTGGCAATCGTTGCGCACAACAGTGCTCTTTTAGCGGAATAGCGATGTTATTATTACTGTAACATCGATTAGTTTACAGAATGGGAATGTGCTTGTCGCACTAATTTTATATTAAACTTATGGCCGCTTTCGTTACGTCAAATAGCACTTTTACTTTAATGTCTCCGTCGCGCAGTTGGGTTCGATTCCCACACGGAACAAGTGTTTGTCAGATCCACACATAGTTGTTTCGCATCTGGGTGTTTGTCAATGTGAAATTTATATTTGTAAAACGTCCTTACAACACAGGATTATGTTATCCTAAAGTGAGGGGGTAAATGATGAGTGAATGCTGAGTTTGGATACTATGTTTAAATTCTCTTCTTTATCAAACTCGTGTTTTGTTTTTTCTTTGTATATTTTTTATGCAAACTGAGGAACATCAAAGGTACTAAATGCCCGATCTCACCTTCGATCCCAAACTTTAAGGGACACCTAAAAAATAAGTGCCATTTCGTTTTCACCACGGCTTAAGTGTCACACTTAAGTTTTAGGTGCCTTAAGCGGTGTGGTGGTTAGGGAGTGATGGTGGAAACGGGCATTAATGCCTTATTTATTAGTGTAATTG